CAGTTGATTAGGCGCTGCGATAGCATTTTAGGTCATGTCCGCCATCTTGGATTTTCGAATTTTCAAAATTCGACTAAAAATTCGAGTTTCCCATTGAAAAATACCCCCGGGTACCACGTTTTACTTAAATCGGTAGAAAAGAGCGCCTACAGGGCTTAAACAAGCAAGTCACAGTTGTAACAGTTTTCCACTCTGTCCCAGTAAACTGGGACATGGGACAGGATGGAAACATATGGGACAGGATGGAACGGGACAAGATGGAACGGGACAGGATGGAACAAGCTGTTTTTTAAGCTTATCTCTAACAGTAAAGACAATTTTGGTGTTTTTTTTCACGGAATATTTAGTAGCACGTCCTAGAGGATCGGAATAAGAGAAAATTTTCCCTAACGCAAACTTCGAAAGTATTTTACGAGCTGATATTAGTGTGTGTGTGTATGCTTGACGCCCCGTCAGTTATCGTGTATAGCATTCTGTTTGGCATCATTAATGGCGTTAATCTTGCACAAAAATTTGCGAATTTCAGAATTTTTGCCATCTACGACGTGTGAACTATTCAATCAAAACAAAAAAAGTCGTTTTTGGAAAAACCTCAACGTTACGGCAATCATTTAGAGCTTACTACATCGTTGCCATCTCTCTCCTGACTGTTGCTGACTGTTGCTCGGGACAATGATTCTAGCGCGTGAAAAAGTTATTGATGGAGCAAAAAATAAATTGACATATTTTTTTTCTCAAATTCAAAAGCATTACCTATCATCTCCGATAAAGTTTTCTTAAATAATCACTCTAGTTATGCTGCGACATCGATTTAAAGTCAAGAACCAGGCATGGGGGACACGCAAATTTGGGACAAATGTAGGCAATTTGAACATTCAAAGTTCTCTTAAATTTTTATTTCAGTCCAAATAAAGTGGGAAATAGCATGTAATAGTCAACAATAGTGTGGAAAATGAGAAAAAAATGTGATCTGCCCATGTTTCTCAGATTATGACGATTAAAACAGCTCGGGACACCAAATTAGACGCTTATTTGAACTCACCCAGGTATCCTTCAAAAGAATGGAGCTTTCCTCGCAAAATAAATCAAGATACTACGGCACAAAAAGAGAGCGGTAGTTCAAAAACTAACTAAGTCCTAGTATCCGTATATAGTAACGTTTAGCATAAACTTTATCGTCTGGTTGTTGCTTAATCGCCATCGGCTATAAAAGGCTGTAAGGAATTGTATAGCCGGCTACAGAAGCTATTGGAAATCTTACAGCCGGCTTTAGGTCTATAGTATTTTGGAACACACATTCTACTGCCAATTTTTACCAGGGACAGCAAGGTTGCCATGCGAATGTTTACTAAGAATTACTATCATGACACTAGAATCGCTTACTTTGGCAATCATGTTGATATATTCCGCCGTATTTCATGACGGGCCACTCGATGGGATATATATTAATAGACTCTATTAAAATAGAGGGGTGCTTTATTTCCATTGACATTATCTAGATTGTGGGTAAGTACTAGCCCTGCCCGGATTCCTGTCCAGTCCCATGAGGGTGGAGCTGATGCCTCCCACGAATATGTCTTTTTTTGAGCTTTCTCCGTCGGCGAGAAAAATAGGAGAAAAACTGATCATTTGATTGAGAAAAATGGCGCTCCGCCTTGCATTTGAAAAAATTTTCCTGCGTACTTTGCAAGAAACTCGATTGCCACCTCTCGTCCTACGTACCACCAAAACCCATTAAAAGTTCTCAAGGTGAATAGGCCATAATGGTGTAAAAGATGATTGTGAAAAAGCCGTCCTAATTATTCCAGGTACTTCTTAACGATGTGATACAGCCTTTAAGGATAAAGCTGAGTGAAATTTTACTCTTTACACACGGATTGCTCATACAGATTAGCAACCCTGCTAATGTCAAAGGCTAAATTTGAAATTATAAAAGTAACGCAAAAACTTGCAAATAAGAAATTATAAATGGGTCAGACCGGTTTTGAGAATAGTTGCTCAACCGTAAAACCCATAATCGCGCGGTATCACTAGGGATGAGCTAGCCATGACACCCGTCAGACCGCCCATTTTAAATTTTTCCGTTGCGAGTGAGAATTTCAAATTTTTAATCTTTATAACAAACCTTGTGCCGCTTGTGCTTTAAACCATCTGTACGTTTTCATTCAACTCTGATAATATATTCAACTGTACTTATACTGGGTTAGTGGTTTGACTGGATAATTAGGTGGCCTGTAATACGGTGGAAAGCTCTTTCATCACGCCCTTGACTTTGGGAGCTTTTTGAGTTTGGTACTTAGGTAATGGAGAAAAATAGAGGCACCATTGTGTTCCTTGCAAAAGGGATTCTATGTCCCTATTATACGTGCTTAAAGTAATTACGGAGCGACAGTGGCGGATCCAGAGTGAGTTGGGCGTGGGAAGGGGGACATTTTCCGATGTCGAGTGAGGGGTCTGGAGGGGGGGGGGGNCCCTCAGAAAATTTTCAAAAAAAAAAAAATAAATAAAATAAAATAAATAAAAAAAAAGCCCCACCCTCCGATTGAATTCTAAGCAGTATCAGCCTACAATTTGTGCATTATTTGAAAGTGAAAAATTGGCGCGAAAAATACCTCCTAAAGAGGAATTCCATTTTGGTTGATGGTCTATTTATTTGTACGGTATTGAGTAACCTTTGGTTTACTAAACTTGGTTAAATAGTTCTGAATTTCTGTCTTGACACCATTTCAGTAAATTTTTGGAGGCTCTTTTTTACCTCTCCCTCTTTTTACCCCTTTCATCATTTTTCTCTTCTTCACCCCCCGTTTTTTTCCCTGAGGGCGGGGGGGGGGCGGCTGGATCCGCCACTGCTGAGCGATCTTCTACGTGAAACCACAGTTCTTTTCGCTTCAGCAAACGTTTTCAACAGACCTAATTTCAAAAAAAAATTCCTTCGAAACTTACGATTGGACTTTTGAAATGATGGAGGGAATCGGAAAGCCGGTGCGTTACGGACGCCGAACCGGTTGACGGGTAACGCGGTCCGGCGAGTGTCGTAAGAGGCCTCCCTCCACGCTCACCGGCTCACCCTCGTGCAAGTGGGCATCCGAAGACGAAGCCGCTTCCCTCCCTGAGCGATTCGCCGGTGTCCGCGCTTATTCCAAGTCCAAGTCCCATTCGCAGCGGTGACAGTCGTCAATCGGTGACCGGCCATGTTCAAATATTTCGCGCTCAAAGTTCTCCCGCTCCTGCTCCTCTTCTACGGCTGCGGCGCGCTTTTGAGCGATGTCGCCAACCAAGTCGACCCGACCACCATCGAACCAACCGGTAACCCTCTTCCTCTACCATCACACCACGTGTAGTTCCGGCCAATTTTCGCGATCGAATATGAGAATGGTTGGTAATACCAACCTGTGTAACCCTCCGCTTTTCAATTTGAGGTGTATCGACGATGTAAAGACTGTATTGGTGGATCCTATCGTCCGGGAATGGTGATTTTTGTACCCTAGGAACAAAACTGTCGTGATAGCGATGAGAGCAGTAAGTGCTTTTTTGAAATCGAGTTTCCTTCAAAATTAGTCTAATCTCTTTTTGCTGAAATCACTGAAATAGGTGTAGCAGCAAAATTCATCTTAATTGTATGAAAACGAGACATGTGAGAAAGCTGCAAGTGCGCAAAAATTATGTATTTCAGCTAAGACAGCAGTAATTGATATTATTCCTCCAGAGAGCCAATGAAATCAGTGCCCTCAAGTAAAGTCTCGCCCTCTTCCACCGATTTCTAACCTGAAAATGTGTTTGTTGTGTGTCCAAATCGCAACCACAAAAGCATGCAGAATACAGTACTTACTGCTGTCTTGCTTAACACTAGCCTAACATGAGAATGAATACCCTTTTCATGTAATCGAAATAAAATCGGTCGATTTTTAATCATCCTAACGATTTCGAAGAGTCTTTTGGATGATTATAGTGGTAATTCGACAAAGAACGAAGGCCTCCTTCATTAAAATTTTTCGCTCAGGCGCTTCTGAGCCCATTTTTTTTCAAAACTTCATTTTTGCACAATGCTGTTCTCTTCGCTATCACGGCAGAAAAGCTAGGCCAGGACAAAGACAGTTGGTAAGTTGGGTGTCCGTCGGTTTCTAGTGAGACTACTGTTTTAAGACTTTCATCATATTGCGAGCGAAGTATCAGGATGTTTGTACAGATGTCATTTAAAAAATCCGTAAATACCAATTTTATTTTCAGGGACGGAGGTTGGAATGAGAAAAGGTATAGCTCCCCCACTTTCCCGGATTGCCTATTTATTATTTAGGTAACCGATCACTCCATGTGGAGCACGTGTTCTTATGACAGAAGCCAACACCAATCTACAGTTTTTACATCGTTGTTTTCAAAACGTACCTACTCTCATTGAACAAAAAACAGCGAGCAACAGCAGTTATCTGTCCTCAATTCCTGGTACCGGTTTGGTTAGCAAAGTTAAAAATATTGATATTTGATCGCAAAAATTCGCCTTTTTCCAAGAAAAACACTATGTATGGTCATCCTAAATCGCGAAAATCCTGTTAACACTATACAGTGTGGAAATCATTTGAAGTGCATGCAGGTATGCATGGAGACAATTTTTTTGGAACGAGACTTTTATCAAAATGAGGTAATTCAAATAGGAGTATCGACGGAAAACATAAAATTCAAATATTGACGGAAAACACTTCCTGTCTTGTGGAATACGTCGTGCAAATTTTAATTTCTTATTTGGATCGTTTGTTCTTATTCATTAGGATGGGGCGAGAAAATACATTTTAAAACAACAATTTTAGGCCTGGAGCATGACCATTAAAAACACTAATAATTTTTTCAAATCACTAATTTTTGAACTGCAAACTTCAAATTGTCATAGCTCCAGTGTTTCGTTTGCCATTTTGTGCGTTTGTGTTATAATGTTTGTGAAACACCCCCTTAGGCAAAATTTCAACGTTGAGTTTTTCAGCACGAAGGTCCCGTTTTCCGCAAAGTCACATCGCTAAATTTTCTCGACATTCCAAATATATTTCCGAGCGTCCTAAGGAACTAATCTACCGATGAACTGAACATACATACAATTTTGGCGCAACAATCATTAAGCCCTACACTCGAGTGCATTTTGCATTAGTTGCGACAAATATTTATTTTGCGAAGGTATTCAACACATAAGTGATTTGAAAACTTGGATTGCGATTACCTCCTCTTATTGAAATAAACGCCTACACTCGAGAGAGAGGGCAACCATAAAATGACACCTAGTATTTGTGGCGATCGAGGAGTTTCTACTACATTCGAGACGAGATGTTCGTGGGCAATGGACTGCATGAATTAAGTGCGAATCCTCGATGCTAGTGGGAGTGAGGTAATGACCGATTTGGAGATTATCTCATCACCGTGGCTTAAATTGACTAATAATTGTAAAGCACACAGCACTCCCTTCTCGACAGTTAACGTGCGACACCAAGCAGAGAAAGGGGTTGGAATTCTCCATGCCTCCAGGTTAATGAAGTGATGACAAAGTGATAACTCGCGACAACTATCAACCTAAATCAACTTCCTACTTCACATTCTAACCTACACTAACCTTCTTCAACTTCAAGCTAACTCTAGGATGACACTGTCTGAAAAAATTGCGCCCTTTTAACCCTCAAGGTGAACTTTTTAGGAGAGACATCGGGGAAAAAATCTCTTGGATCTCGAGTCCAGGCTCTGAAAATTTGACAAGGAAAAAACTCTTGACTCAATCGGATTTTTGCTTGAATCAAAAAGAAAATCAGCTTAAATTAAGAGCCTCTCGATTCAAACAAAACTCGGATTGAATCAAAAGTAATTTTTCTTGCCAAACTTTTTTAGAGTCTGGACTCTGGATGTAGGAGACGTTTTTTCCCAGTGAACACCCTGCATCAAAGCAGAGTAGAAACGTTAGGATCTCAATGAATGTTCCGTCATTTTGTGGGACACAGCTGGTTATAAATTCACTAAAAATCAAAAAATGGTAAGGAATCTCTGAAGAGAGGAAACGTATGCAGCGTTTTGCAACGCGAATCTCTCCCTCCCCTGCGACACTACCGTAACGCAGGTTCATGACCCCTTTCTATAGAGCGTTACGTTTTTTACAAACGGCCCCTATTGGCATGCAAGTTTGGCCACTTGCCGCGTTGATTCCAACGGTGACACTTGGGTTTTACGGTTACGCTCTGTGGGGGAACAATGGTTGCGAGGCGCCAGGCGGGGGCGGCGCCTGCGCTTTTTGGCGCGTCGCGGAACCGGAAATATCGAGATCCGAAGCCCGACATGATCGCGAGACAACGCGCGCGCGAGCCGCGATTTCTCATTCAAGCGCGTCTTAAAGCTAATCCAAAACTGAGAGCTCCTTCATTTTGATGCGTATGCATTTTAATCTACACGGAGGTTGAAATAATTGTATCACTTCCTCCTTCAATTCCCTCTTGATATCTCGGGATCAACTTTTTAAGTGGCGTGAAATAAGGTACAATGGGTCTCTCTAAGCTGGATTTCTTATAATACTGGATACAAAAGAGAAGAGTATAACTCATCTTTATATTCTTTCAGTTACATCTATTATTGTTCGTTTCTCATCTTCATGAAAATAAAGGTGACGATCTGATAGGTGTGTTGCACATTAAATGTATAGCCGTCTCCAAATGAATACATTTCGTAGGAGTAAAACGTACGCGTTGAGAACGTCAAAAAATGCGTAAAATACACCCTGAAAGGAAAAATTATGCGAAATCCTTTGAAAGACAATATGAGAATTCCAGCTGACGAAGACACATGAACATTTTTCCAGATACATAAGACTATTATTTAGATTTCTCAAAGTATGGAAACTTAGTACAACACTAGAACTGTGTTGTGGCTTCCTTGTCAAGATCTAGCGATCGCACCAAAAGTTGCATCTGAGAACACTGCACAATGGAGAATTTGCGCACAATCAAAAAAAAAAAAAAAAAAAAAAAAAAACCCAAAAAAGTATTGCCTTGTCCAAAAGTGCTTAATGAGCTAAGTTGGCACTATTTTTCAAAAAAAATTTCGAATTCAGATAATTGTAGAAAAATAGATATAAAGTGAGAATATATACCGTCTTGCTACGTCATCTGGCGGCATTCCCCATTTAAACACATTTTAGAAGATTAGGTTATTTTGTCGTATCTCCTCCAATAATTGATCAATTTACAAACCAATCGTATCCTCGTGCTCACTTCTCTTAATAGTTTCATCTGAAACATGAAATTTACCAAATTATAGACACCGGCAAATTCTTCATTGTACAGGACAACCGCACTGGTCTCTCGTTAAAAATATCTTCTATTTCCTCATTTTTAATGAAGAACGAAGTAACGTCATTCCTTGGAATTTTCAAGCGGAGAAGAAAATTTACGGATCAAGGAACAACGTCGAGCAATTTTCTTTTTCAAAATTCAACATGACGATAGAAATTCTGCAACACCGCATAGGGAGTTAAGTGGTTTTGGGTTTTGACTGTTGCGATGCCCACGGGCGCGTTAATTGCACGGCTGCGACGACTTCGAATCCAACTTCTACAGTTATGCGCTTTACGACGATGTCTCCGGTTCTCGAGGCATTGTTGTGTAACATAGTTCTGTGTCATTTAGTTGTTAGCTTGCGAGCGAGCGGGCGTCTTCAAGCAACTTTTACTGTAAATTATCTGTTAACACACTCTAGTCCGATCAACTTTTCAATTACGATTAAACGCGTTTTTCTTCACCTTTTAAAGCCCCTCCGTGTATATAGTGCAGGCTAATGGTCAAATGTCCGAGCAGATATTCAAATTTTAACGACCTACCAGACTTTGTGTATTTTCAGAAAGATGTCGGAAATTTTCAGCGTCGCGAAGAAAAATATTGATGGAAATATGAACTTTTCTTGAATTTTAAGGATTTCCACGTCTTTAATCCCGCCAAAATTTTGAACAATCAGCAATATTCTGATGAATATATCAGTTTTAAGATAAATGTTTCATTCAGAGCTGAACATTCTAGAAAATAGCTACCATGAAATAATATACCAAAACCATATTTTGGTGATTTTCTACCTTAGGGTCATGTAAAATTTCAGTTTTTAAAAACGAAATGGAATTATTGACTTTCTGCCTGGAGTTTGGGCTAAATGCGTATCTCCATTGAAGTGATAAAAATCTACTATTATGTTTAATATTTTTAAAAGAAAACAAAACAAAATATCTCCTAACAATTTGTTTTTGGAGTATTTTTGTATGAACGGTTGGTACTTTTCGGCTTTTCCAAAAACAACATGCA